AATTGGTATCTAATGTTATATTTCACTGTAATTTATTCATAAACTTGATTGTTCTTTATTTATTTAATTGATTAATTTGTATCTAATGTTATATTTCACTGTAATTTATTCATAAACTTGATTGTTCTTTATTTATTTAATTGATTAATTTGTATTTAATGTTATATTTCACTGTAATTTATTCATAAACTTGATTGTTCTTTATTTATTTAACTGATTAATTTGTATTTAATGTTATATTTCACTGTAATCTATTCATAATCTTGACTGTTCTTTATTCATTTAATTGATTAATTTGTATTTCGCTGTAATTTATTCATAAACTTGATTGTTCTTTATTTAATTGATGAATTTGTATTTAATGTTATATTTCGCTGTAATTTATTCATAAACTTGACTGTTCTTTGTTCGTTTTGATTATTTTTACTTTTATTGATTTTCTTTATTATTATATATTAATTTATTGTACTTTATTGATGTATTTCACTGTTATGTATTTATAAACTTGTTTGTTCATTATTAATTTTCCTTATTATTGACTTACTTGATTTTTAGTTTTTATTTTATTTCACTGTTATTTATTGAATTTACTCTTACCCTTCCCTGCGGACGCCCATGGGCCTAATACTAATGTCCTATGACAAGTATAATAAATTATAATTATGCTTTTTCATCTTAGAAAAGGCGTTCACATCATAAAATTATATAATTGTTGTTCTGTTTCTAGACCGGCTTGTCTGTTTCTGATATGGAAAAGGGATATGACCATAACAAGCCTCCGATTCGCCCACGGACAGCTTGGACTATCCCAATGAACGTGCAAGACAACTTTCCACACAACTGGTTCAAACATCCCTCGTGGTCGATGGACTGGGTGGTCACTATTGACCACGCAGCTCGTGTTCTTTTTCCTGTAGCGTTTCTTATCTTCAATACTATCTATTGGCCTATTTTGCTCACCAGAAAATACTAACGAGCACACAAAGAAGTAAATCTATTCTCCAGGACATCGTCGACTTGTATATCTTACTGACCAACAAATATCAAATTGTACAAAGTAAAGCTATTCTCCAGGACATCGTCGACTGGTATATCTTACTGACCAACAAATATCAAATTGTACAAAGTAAAGCTATTATCCAGGACATCGTCGACTGGTATATCTTACTGACCAACAAATATCAAATTGTACAAAGTAAAGCTATTCTCCAGGACATCGTCGACTGGTATATCTTACTGACCAACAAATATCAAATTGTACAAAGTAAAGCTATTCTCCAGGACATCGTCAACTGGTATATCCTACTGACCAACAAATATCAAACTGCACACAAAGTAACATGACTGTAGTTTCTCATTTATCGTAGCACACGTTGCACACTTGTTCACGGTGACAACTTTTCACACTTGTAAATTCTTTTGTAGCTTTAACACACTCTTCCAAAAGAAAAAAATCAAGTATTAGAAGTAGTTTACGAACGGCAGCGTGTTTTGTAAAATCCAGCTTTCATTGGAAGAATTATCAAATTTACAGAAGTTTGATTTCACAATTTTCTGATATAAACGTGAACATTATTATAAAGAAAGAAAGAAAACAAAAGAACCAGTTGATTGTTAACATAAAATTATCATTGTTTGATAAGTGCTGACTTCAAATTAAAGCTTCAACAAGTTACTTTATAAAATTATCATGTTTGATAAATGCTGACTTCAAATTAAAGCTTCAACAAATTACTTTATAAAATTATCATTGTTTGATAAGTGCTGACTTCAAATTAAAGCTCCAACAAGTTACTTTATAAAATTATCATCGTTTGATAAGTGCTGACTTCAAATTAAAGCTTCAACAAATTACTTTATAAAATTATCATTGTTTGATAAGTGCTGACTTCAAATTAAAGCTTC